TCGGGTAACCCGAAGGCTGGAAGGAGTGTTCGAGCACGGACCACAGGGCCTTCGCGCCGGAATTCCTCCTCCCTGGCTCTTGGGGTCACCTAAGAATCACATTCCTAACAAGTTCCAAGGTAATGCTGAGGGGGCAGGTGCAGGGACCACAGTCGGAGGACCATTGCTCCAGGAAAGTCAAGAAATTTACAATTTCACTCAGGCGCAGATAGCAGGTAAGAGAACTTTGAGTAAAAAAAAATCAAACAAACAAAAACCTCGTATTTAAAAATTCTGGAAGCCAGAGATAGAAACATAGACGTGATCACGCCTGTTCTGCGCACGGTGATTGGCGGCTATGGCAGTTTCATGGCCAATAGCCGCTACTGATGTCCATGAAGCAGAGAGATGGTTGTAGACTGGAAAGATGATGGAAGTAGTTCCTAGGATTTCAAGTGGTCCTCACGGGACATTTAAGAAGGATGGAGGGTTGGGTCCTCAGGGAGGAGGAGGCTGAAAGAATATAGGAAGGACCCAGGAGCAGTCCTACAGGAGAGAGGAAGCGACCACGTGACTGGGGAGAGCACGGGGTTCCTGTACATTAAGCAGGAAGTGGAGAGAAGAGAAGATGAGCAACGGGGGTTGCCATGTCAGAAAAGGTGGGTGGGCTGGCACCGTCTCTGGGGGAGGAGCCAGTGTACGTCAACATTGATTTTTGGCCCCCCATTCACTCCCTGCGGTGTTACAGGGACAGTGGTCCTCAGGAAGACCCAGGCTCGCCCTGGCCGGCTTGGCTCAGCGGTTAGAGCGTCGGCCTGCGGACCAGAGAGACCCGGGTTCGGTTCCCGCTAAGGGCATGGACCTCGGTGGCAGTTTGTCCCCGGCCCTGGTTGGGGTCGTGTGGGTGGCAGGCAGTCGATGCTTCTCTCTCTCTTCCTCCCTCTCTCCCTCCCACTCTATCTGAAGATAAATGCAACAATGTCCTCGGTGAGGATGAGAAAAGGAAAGAAAGAAAGAAAGAAAGAAAGAAAGAAAGAAAGAAAGAAAGAAAGAAAGAAAGAAAGAAAGAAAGAAAGAAAGAAAGAAAGACCTAGGCTCCACCTGCAAGGCAGCAAATACTCCAGACTGGTATACACCCCATTTCTGAGACTCCAAGACCAAAGATGATGGTGACAAAGCCAATAACAGGACCAGGAGTGTCTACATTCCTGGGACACTTGGTTTTTGGTTGATAAAAAGCAGGTCCTGGTACAAGTTATCATGGTCCATGGAGATTCTGCTTCTTGGGTTATATACTCTTGTTGGACTCAACAAAAGGAAGACAAAGAACCCACTTAAAAAATGGGCAGAGGACCTAAATAGACACCTCTCAAACAGGACATACAAATGGGCCAAGAGACATATGAAAAAATGCTCAACATCACTAATCATCAGAGAGATGCAAATTAAAACAACTATGAGGTATCACCTCACACCTGTCAGAATGGCCGCCATCAACAAATCATCAAACAACAAGTGTTGGCGAGGGTGTGGAGAAAAGGGGACTCTAGTGCACTGCTGGAATGCAGACTGGTGCAGCCACTATGGAAATCAATATGGTGTTTCCTCAAAAAATTAAAAATTGAACTTCCATTTGACCCAGTGGTCCCACTTCTAGGAATATACCCTAAGAAGCCTGAAACACCAATCAGAAAGAATATATGTACCCCCATGTTTGTAGCAGCACTATTTACAATAGCTAAGATCTGGAAACAGACCAAGTGTCCATCAGTAGACGAATGGATCAAAAAGCTGTGGTACATATACACAATGGAGTACTATGCAGCTGTAAGAAAGAAAGATCTCTTATACTCTGAGATGACATGGAAGGACCTGGAGAATATTATGCTGAGTGAAATAAGCCAGTCAGAGAAAGATAAATACCACATGACCTCACTTATTTGTGAAATATAATGAACAAAATAAGCTGATGAACAAAATAGCCCCAGAGACGTAGAAGTAGGGTACAGACTGACAAACTTCAGAGGAGGGGGTGACAGGTGGTGGGGGGGAGGGAAGAGATAAACCAAAGACCTTATGCATAGGAGCATAACCATGGACAGAGACAACAAGGCTGGGGGAGGGGAGGGGGGAGGTGCGGGCAGGAGGAGGGTGTCAATGGGGGAAAAAGGAGAAACATCTGTAACAAAAATAAATTAATTAAGAAAAAAAGATTCTGCTTCTTCTTATTTATATTTGTATCCTCACCCAAGGACACTTTTTTGCATTTATCGTCAGAGCGGGAGGGAGAGAGGGGGAAAGAGAGAGAGAAACATCGACGTGAGAGAGACACATCGAGTGGTTGCCACCCACAGGACCCCAATGGGGGCCAGGGGCAAACTGCAACCGAGGTACGTGCCCTTAGCGGGAACCGAACCCAGGTCTCTCTGGACCGCAGGCCGACGCTCTAACCGCTGAGCCAAACCGGCCAGGGCTGCCCAGTGTTTTGATAGTCAGTCCACTACCTTAGGCAGGAAAACATACTCCTCAGCCTGGAAGACCTCCAAAGGCCCAGTCCACGCACAGGTGTGAAGGCAATATTTAAGGGAGAATTATGCCCCCACGTGTCAAGCCCCCGGGTGACAGACACTCACGCCCTGGTTTAAACAGCAGTGAGCACACGCGGGGCGGCACTCATTCCTCCGGGATCCAGCCCTCGTCTCCTCCCCCGTGAATCCATGAATCCGATCACGGTCTGTCCACACCTGCAGCTGCGAGGGGCCAACCTCTTCCCTGAAAGTATTCCTGGGCAGCTGGAATCTCGTCCCTCAAACCCAAGTTGTTCCCGGGTCCGCTGGGATCACAGTGGATTTATTTGGAAGGTGTAGTTAAAAGGGTTTGCTGACAGGTCGGATTGGGGATGCGAATGAAAGAAATAAAGAATTATCCCCAAATGCTCCACATCAGCAGCCAGAGGGACGCACTCGGCACCTCCAGGGGAGACGGTTCCGGAGCCGGGTTTCCACGGGTTGGCTCTCCTAGTAGATCCTGGAATAAGGGCCCCTCTGTAGCTCCAGGAGAAGGACATTAGGAGCCTTTGCTGGCGGGACAGCCCAGGCCGGTGGAGGGGACACGCGAGACCCCAGCTCATTCCCCAGAACAGGAAAGGCAGACTGGCCGCTCACAGGGGTGGGTGCGTGTGACTGTGGGGCCAGCGGACCCCCCCCCCCCACTCCTTCCCCTTTCCCGGAGCGAAGAAGTGGGGCGGTCGGCTGAGAGGGGGTGGAGGCGAGGACGTGTTGGAGGTTTGATGAAAAGGAGCCATGAAACACGGCCAAGGACAGGGGCAGAGTGGCCTGCCGGCTGGAAGGGCCCCTTCGGGGTTCTGGCCGTGAATTTGAACAGAGACCCCCTGTCTCCAGCCCGCTGAGCAGGTGCAGGCGGGATCAGGCAGGAGCTGGCGGTGAGCCAGGACAGGGGGCGCGGGGAGAGGGTCCAGCCAGACCCGGGCGGCAATTACCGACGGGCTGGGACAGCCGAGCTGTTACCTGAGACGCTCGCTGGGAAGGGCGGTGGGATCAGCCCACGACGGCCCCCCCCATAAAGAAGCGAGGGGCTGAGAGGAGGTGGAGCCGGAGAGCGACATGCTGACCACGGAGACTGTGCCCTGAAGCATGTCCCAAATCCTCAAAATACGATGAACAGAAGGCCCTTGACTCACAGGTAAAATCCATTAGTCGGACAGGGCCCCGTGGCTGACATTTCCACAGACAGGGACCCGGCAGATGAAAACGCACGTGTCCCTGGGAGTCTGATAATCCAGCCAGAGCCCTGGGAGCGGCCTGGAGCGGCCCTCGCCCGGGGGCCTGGCTGGTGGTTCTCAGCGCCCCGCGAAGGAGGGCTCCATGGAGCCGTCAGGTGTCTGCTCTGGAGGCTCATCAGCTTCTCTGGAACACGGGGATTGAGTTGAAAGCCCGTGTGCCTTTTCTTTTCCCTTTAGGGGAGAGGGGAGCAGGTTGAAATCATCTGCGTCAGGACCCTCGCGGCCAAGCGCACCCGGTGGGAGGTGCCCACCTGGCGGAGATGCAGAGCGAGGAAACCTCTCCTGGCTACAGACCCACGGGGCCCCTCGTCACAGGGCACGGCCCTGGGGTCTCCTCGTCCACACTGAAAGAAGAGACCACACGGCCGTCACTGCACTTGTAACAACGGCATGAAATCGCAGAAAAATCGTGAGCTCCACGTCTGCTAAGACGGTAGGATTCAAATCCCCAGACCACCGTCAACCTATCGACAGAGATCCACGTACCCAGGGGGCAGCTGTCTCTGCTGACCTGTGAGTGGGCTTGACCTGTCTGTGGAATTCTCCGGTTGCTGTCCCGGGACACAGGCCTCCGTCCCAGTTTCGTGAGGACGTGTGACGTGGTGACCAGGGCTACTCTCTGGGGGACATTTGTTTTGGGGAGAAACTCTATTAGTATAAGCCCTCAGTAGGGTTTCTGAACCTTCAGCTTTTTGGTAGGTCGACGTGATAAAGCGTTACAACACGTGGACAGTCAGGTGGAAGGTGTTTCTCTTTCTGTTTCAAAGGCTGAAGACACGCAGGTCAGGCCGACCAGCCAGAATGCGACGTGGACGCCCGAGGGGTCTCAGCACGTGCTGGCCGCGGGCGGGTTGGGGCCGTCTGTGGGTCGCCTGTTTCTGGTTCTGATGAAAGGTAAGTCGGTTTTAAAAGAAAATGCTTTCTAAGAAGGGGCCTAAAAGCCCCCGATTCAACAGAGAAGGGAGAACAAAGATTATTTTGAACTTGCCTCATTTACGGCAGCAGGAGACACCTCCAGACGGATTTCAGATCTTCTGACGGGAGGGTCTGAGAGAAGTGTGCTGGGTCCGGGTACTAGTCCGGGTGCTGGGTCCGGGTACTAGTCCGGGTGCTGGGTCCGGGTGCTGTGTCAAGGTGCTGGGTCCGGGTGCTGGGTCCGGGTGCTGGGTCCGGGTGCTGGTCCGGGTGCTGGATCAGGGTGCTGGGTCTGGGTACTGCATCAGGGTGCTGGGTCCGGGTGCTGGGTCCGGGTGCTGGGTCTGGGTGGTCTGGTGCTGGTCTGGGTGGCTCGGGTCGGTCCGGGTGCTGGGTCCGGGTGCTGGGTCCGGGTGCTGGGTCCGGGTGCTGGTCCGGGTGCTGGGTCTGGGTGCTGGGTCCGGGTGCTGGTCCGGGTGCTGGGTCTGGGTGCTGGGTCCGGGTGCTGGTCTGGGTGCTGGGTCTGGGTGCTGGTCCGGGTGCTGGTCAGGGTGCTGGTCTGGGTGCTGGTCCGGGTGCTGGTCTGGGTGCTGGTCCGGGTGCTGGTCAGGGTGCTGGTCCGGGTGCGGGTCCGGGTGCTGGGTCTGGGTGCTGGGTCCGGGTGCTGGATCCGGGTGCTGGTCTGGGTGCTGGTCTGGGTGCTGGGTCTGGGTGCTGGTCCGGGTGCTGGATCAGGGTGCTGGGTCCGGGTGCTGGGTCCGGGTGCTGGATCAGGGTGCTGGGTCTGGGTGCTGGGTCCGGGTGCTGGTCTGGGTGCTGGTCTGGGTGCTGGGTCTGGGTGCTGGTCCGGGTGCTGGATCAGGGTGCTGGGTCCGGGTGCTGGGTCCGGGTGCTGGTCCGGGTGCTGGTCCGGGTGCTGGATCAGGGTGCTGGGTCCGGGTGCTGGTCCGGGTGCTGGGTCTGGGTGCTGGGTCCGGGTGCTGGTCCGGGTGCTGGGTCCGGGTGCTGGGTCCGGGTGCTGGATCAGGGTGCTGGGTCCGGGTGCTGGGTCCGGGTGCTGGTCTGGGTGCTGGGTCCGGGTGCTGGTCTCGGTGCGTGGATCATGGTGCTGGGTCCGGGGTGCTGGTCCGGGTGCTGGATCCGGTGCTGGTCGGGTGCTGGTCTGGGTGCTGGGTCCGGGTGCTGGGTCTGGGTGCTGGTCCGGGTGCTGGATCAGGGTGCTGGGTCCGGGTGCTGGGTCCGGGTGCTGGGTCTGGGTGCTGGTCCGGGTGCTGGATCAGGGTGCTGGGTCTGGGTGCTGGTCTGGGTGCTGGGTCCGGGTGCTGGGTCAGGGTGCTGGGTCCGGGTGCTGGTCCGGGTGCTGGGTCCGGGTGCTGGGTCCGGGTGCTGGTCCGGGTGCTGGGTCCGGGTGGCAGGCTGGTTGGTGGGGAGGCCGCAGGGCAGGGCTGGAGGCCTCGGAGAGAAGCTGGGAAGAACTCCAAGAGGCGGAGCTGTAGGACTCAGCCTTGCTCGAGAGAAACACGAGGAGGGAGTCAGTGCAGCTGAAGCCCAGGGACTGGAGAGGGGGAAGGAGTGATGCTGGGAGCGGGCTGATCTCTCCCTGCCCTCCCCTCCCAGCCCATCCCCCCCCTGGACCTCTCCTGTGTCTCTTCTCTCCCTCCTCCTCCTCCTCCTCCTCCCATCCCCCCCTCACTGGCTCTGGCTCTTCCCCTCTCCAGTGGGTTTCCTGCTCACATGTGACAACAAGGCCGCACCGCAGCTCCCGGGGGTACATGAGCTGGAACCATGAACCACAGTGGGACGCACTGACCTCTCATAATTCCCAACTCCCAGAGGAAGGCTCGGACAGGAACCTCGAGGCCAGGACCACACCCACAAGGCAGGTCCTGGGGGGCAGTCCAGAGGGGTACTTCTCCCTGTCGGTGGGTGGTCTGAGAAGGCTGTGGGCGGGGCAACACGGTGGGAGTGACCGAGACAGAAGACTCTGTATCACAGGTTGGCATCCATGGGACCTGGGCAGGTGTAGTTTGCATGTAGTTCCACATGTTGTGCAGCCCCTCTCCTGAGACTCGGGGGGTTTGGGGACTTGCATTTATCACACTTAATGGCTGGTTTAACCTGGTTCTTCTTGCCGGGCATCGCTGTTCTGCCCCATTCAGAAGCCTTCGGGGGATGGGTTGGGAATGCGGAGAGCTCACGGCTCATGTCCTTCTCGACCCCTCTCCCAGCGCGGTGACTTGGAACCACGGGTGGCCCTCAGGTGGAGGAAGCCCATTTCTCCTTCATCTCCAAACACATTTGCACGAATTTACTGAACGTGTATTTAAATACATCGATTCCATCCCATTTAAAAATGTTTGAGGCAGTGGCAACAGACAAGATGTTTACTACGTGTGCCCACATTTAGTAACATATTTCGTAATTATGGAACATATTTGGCTACACATGTCTATGCCAGGAACACGATAAACAAAACGAACATGTGCATTTCTGGGGAGGATTTCTGAGTTTCCTCCTTCCTGAGTGGGTGGCTGTGTATTCTGCATCTGTTTGGACTCGTCTGGTTACAAATGTGTGACAGCGGAGTTTGCCGGGAGTCCAGGACTGCTCTTGGGGGGCTGCTCTCGGGGGGCTGCCGCGCTTCGCACACCCTCCTTTCTGAGAAGAAAGTGGGAGGGGATGGCTCTCCCTTTGCCTGGTAGAATATGTGTTTTCATTCAGCAGATTTTGGAAATAACATTTAGAGCTCGGTTTTCTTCCTCAAGTGGTACCTACCCTTTGGCTCCTGTATCTGTCTCGCTAAGAAGCCTTTACCAACAAAACAGTCCATGTTTTGGATACCATCCTCCGCCGAAAAGTAAACTGTGAACGTCTCTGTAATGATCTGATTTAAAACACTTGGAAGGCATTTAGCGTGTGTTTGGCGGTGTTCCTATGACTATATTTAAAACGCGGAATGCGGGGCTCCATCGTCATTTCAACGACTTTCAGGCATGTCCTCAATTATCAGACGCGTCACAGTGAGGACCATTCTGCAAAGGTAAAGAACTCTTATTTTCTTTAATATTTTTCTTTTATTTTTAGAGAGAGAGGAGGGAGAGGGAGAGAGAGATAGAAACATCGATGAGAGAGAACATCGACTGGCTGCCTCCTGCACGCCCCCTGCTGGGGATCAGGCCCACAACATGGGCACGTGTCCTGACTGGGAATCGAACCGGCGACCTCTTGGTGCAGGGTCAAAGCTCAACCACTGAGCCACACCGGCCAGACTAAAGAACTCTCATTGAGTTAACCAAGTTTTATGAAGTGTGTAGATGAATATACCAAGGTGCATGTGAGCACAGTTTGGAAAATGATGAATTGCACCAATACGAGCCCTCCTCTGTTTAAAATGCTAAATACGGGGACTGGATACCACACGGTGGTTGTAAGAGGGCAGGGCCCACGGGGGACAGAAGGACTGAGGCATGTACCACCTAAGGAACGTCCTGTGATTGGAAGGGCCCTTGGTGGCAGATTCTGCACTGCTGAGACCTCCATGATAGTCGGGGGTAGAAGAGGAAGAAGGCAGAACCAGGGGGCGTGAAGGCCACGAGGGGCGATCAGGCTACAGAATTCGGGGGGCCCTTCAGGAATTCCTCTGAGAGGCCCAAGGAGCCTTGGTCCAAAGGAGCATGGAGTCAGCCCACCCTGACCCCATCTGGAGGCTGAGGCATGGGAACCCACCATTCTGGTCGAGTTGACACTTGAAGTCAAAACCGGGGACACGTGGTCTCTAACGCTGTATTGTGGAGCAGAGCCCAAGGCAGCGCCTGGGGCTGGCCTGGGGTCATCCCGCCTCCTGTTACTTCATTAGCTCACTGATCTCTCATTGGGAAAACTCCACCCAGCCCACCTTCTCCTGAAGCATGCTCTGTCCTGGTGTCTGGACTGATCCCCGCCTTCAGTTCCTGCTTCTGCAGCGCCCCCTGTTGATGCCTGGCGGCAGGGGCTGGTAAACATGCAGGAGTATTGCTGCAGACATAGACCCTCTGGCTAGACTTCTCATTCAAGCCAAGTCCACCGGAGTTCGTGAACCATCAGTTTACTTTCCCTTTCTTCCCACGGAGGTAAGTTTGGGACCTCACCCAGCCAGAGTGTGGCGGATGTTAGAGTAGTGACTTCTAATGGGAATCTGATTTAAATTAACTACATTTACTTAAATGAATTTAAACAGAAATGACAGTTGAGCCTCAAACAACACAGGGATTAGGGGCCCTGACTGCCCACACCATCGAAAATCCGCATATAATTTTTGAGTCCCCCCCAAACTTTTCATGCCCCCAAATCCACAGATGCTCCAGCCCTTCACATAAAAGGGGTGGATCTGTGCACACACCCAGCCCTCCTGATGTGCAAACTCCCAACTTCAGAACAAAAACACGGGTATTTACTGGGAAAAAAAAAATCCACGAATAAGTGCACCAGCACCGTTCACACCCATGTTGTTCAAGGGTCAACTGTATTTTAATTTCTCAAATTGAAGAGGATGGAATAAGACTTTGGTGAAATTAAACTCTGGAAGACCGGAAACCAGTGTAAAATCTAAATATTTCTCTCATGCCCGCCTGCAATAGATGTTTGTCCCCTTGGGTGTTATTCCCCTAGTTGGAAGCAGGTACTTGAGAGGGGTACAGGCCTTGACAGGTAACATCTGAACTGGTCGTGGAATGATTTAGAGATCGACTTTGTATTTGAATTTGCCACAAGCAGCCCAGAGTGACTGGCAGTTTCCATAAGTGGATGTGGTCATTCATTCGTTCTTCAATCAGTCAATCAATATCAATCATCAATCAATCAATCAATCAATCCGCACCTGCCCTGTGCAGGTAGTAGGGGCACAAAGAAGCATAGACCGAACGGTCTACTGGGGAAGAGACACAGGAAGCCAGTACGTGTGTTGAAATGTCATTTTCTCAGCGCAGTGAGAAGGCATGATGGAATACCAGAATGAGCACCTCACGAGGAGAGGGAATAGTCAGAGTGGTTAAGGTGCTTCTTGGGGATGTCAACACCATGAACAACATCAGGAAGACTTTTCATGGACTAATGGCCCACTTTTCACAAACGGAGTCAACTCAACCTTGTCTGGTCCCGCCCCTGAGGTTAGGAAGGAGAAGTCAGGTACGCAGGGAAAATGGTGAACAGGTTGGTCCAGGCTCCTTGACTCTGAGCTCATCATCTGTCTATTGGGCCAAGGTATCAGAGCGCTGCCCTCCGACACTGTATTTCAGACGAACCTATGTTTGTTATCAGCCTTCTTCACTGACTGACCTTCACGTGATTAGAAAGGGACACTTCTGATGTGAGACACTTGAACCCCCAGAGAGAAATTCTGACCAAGAGTCATCTGCCCAGGCGATGCCTGAAATCGCACGGCTGGGAAGAGCCAAATTGTCAACAAAAACGTATTGGACTTTGTTACGTATAAATTAGGTATTTGTTCAATCATTTCTTCAACTCATTCAGCCACAGGGCAGGGCATCAGGGTACGGACCTAGACTCACAGTCATCTCCGTTCTCTTTAGAGAAAGTTGAGGCTGTGTGTCTCCTGTGCTAAGGTGTCGAAGCCCTAGGAAGTCACTTCCGGTGTCATCGGTGATGAAGTACAGCAAAAAAAAAAAACAAGTTATTTAAAATAAGTTGTTTTAGCCTAAGGTCCCTTTCCTTATGTAAACAGAATGCTTTTTTATAACATCAACATCTTGTTGGCTGACGAATGAAGGCCCTTGTAAGCAATGAACTAAAAAAACACATTCTATTGATTGACTGGAGCTGGATGTAAAATGTCATTTACATAATGAGAATCATAAAAGACGCATGTTTGAAGCATCCCTAGACAGGTTGACGATAGGAATAATGGAAGGTGGCTGATAAACTGGGGACATTTTCAGAAAAATATATTGCCATGCCGAAAAATGCCAGTCAGAGTTCTTTGATGAATGGTTTTCTTAATTATGATGACAGTGTAAGAGAAAAACTAGTGAAAACACCTACTCTAGCCCTGGCCGGTTTGGCTCAGTGGTTAGAGCGTCGGCCTGCGGTCCAGAGAGACCCGGGTTTGGTTCCCGCTAAGGGCATGTACCTCAGTTGCAGTTGGTCCCCAGCCCTGGTTGGTCGAGCGGGTGGCAGCCACTCGATGTGTCCCTTTCACGTCGATGTTTTTCTCTCTCTCTCTCTCTTCCTCTCTCTCCCTCCCACTCTATCTGAACAAAAAAATGGAAAAATGTCCTCAGGTGAGGATAAAAAAAAAAGAAAGAAAGAAAACACCTACTCTGTCCTGGTTGAAAAAAAAAAATTAACTTTTTCTCCCCAGGGAAAGCAGAGACACTTTAGATTTTAGGACCCTCTTGGCTCCTTAAACCTAAATGCTGCTTAAAAAAATGGCCCTTTTAGCCCGTAGCCGGCAGCAACAGTTTAAACCCTCAAGAGGCAGCCTGCCATTTCGGGAAATCGCAGCGTTTTGTAAGAAGGACAACAATAACAACAACAACCAGTAAGCCGCTTAATTCACCTTCTTGGAACAAGATGAAAGTTAAGGGAGAAAGAAGTCGAGTGAGCAAAAACGACGCCTAATTCCTATTTGAAAACTCATCCAACATTTGCTGGAAGTGGGGTGTCTGGCCCCAGACTCCGGAGTAGTGATTGACGTGGGGCAATTCGAAGGGACGTGCCTCCCATTAGAGAAGTGGGGAGACCATGTTCCAGTGCCCTGGACACACTGAGAGTCAGTGCCCTGGACACACTGAGAGTCAGCAGGCAGCCAAGGAACGGGCAGCCCCCAAATGGCATCATTTGCAAATTTGGAAAAGAACACGTTCAACGCCGGATCCCAGATTTCTTTTACCTGATTCTTGCGGCGTACACAGCGGGGACTCTGTTTAGCTATTTTATGTTCACGTGTAATCTAGTGATCAACAGTGGTTCCTAAAAGTGAGATTAACTGAGGACCTGATTCATGAGCATACAGGTGAAGGGCTGGCTCCTTGGAGATTCTGTTCCGGGTCCAAGTCTATGCTTGCCAATGTCTCGTCATGAAATGTGATCGGAGGTCCTGTGGATGAGAGATTCCCAATGCTGATGCCCTTAAAAACTCACGG